TTGTGCATATTTCATCGTATCATGGTTTGCTTATGATGAGTATAATGATTGATATGCATGTCTAAAGTGTACATATAGGTGTGCTTGATTGAAAGGTGTGGAATTGATAACATGTGAAATATTATGGATTGGATGAGGTTGAGCTCCATGCGAATTAGGAAGATAATCCCAATGGATATTAAATGATGATGCAATACCATGATTTAACCAAGAATGCTTATTAGAGGATGATAGTGGCTTATAATGCCTTGATTTGTTTTTAACCACCACATTTGGTTATATTTAGTATGAGGTGTTATAATATGTTTCTTGTATGATAATGTACCATGCCACATATGTATACATAAATATTTTGATTGTGTGATAACATGCTTAAACGACTATAAGAATGGTGAAAAATCCTTGATGTTAATTAATAGAATGGACTAGTAAAGTTATTAGGACATGATGAATAACATAGATGACAATGCTTGTGCAATGATGCCTAGGTGTGTATCATCGATGCGTAGTTGCCTAGTTGTGAGGAGAGCTTTGTATATGTATGGTCGTGTTGTTTATGGTTAAGGCGAGTGTGATGCCTTGTGATTGTCGAATACAATCATGCTATCCTTAGTGATTACATAAGCAAATGGAGCCTACGGGTAAGAGACTTGTGATGGGGGAAGGCTCATGAGAAGTGACAATTCCTAAGGTCGATTATGTGTCCCTTAGAATTTGAATCCATCCAACATTATGTAATGCTTTATCATGTAGTCGGGACCAAATTCGCTTAAGATGTGTCATTCCGAGAGTGGAGGCTTATATAGAGAGCTCCTCCGGTATGTACTCACTATTACCTTGACAGGTTTTATTCCTGTGTGTAGTACAGATGGAGCCTACAAGTAAAGAGACTTGTGATGGGGTATGACCCATGAGAAGTGACGATTTATATGAACTATGTTTCCCGTGGATTCAAATCCATTTCGTATGTCAAGGTACATTACAAGGATCCATGACTCGTACCGATCTCCTAAACGCAGGAGGGGACGAGAAAAGGGGATGTCTTGGTAAGGTTTCTGAACTAGTAATTTTTTGAGTTGATGGACTCAAGAAGCATGTATATATACATTACGAATTGTGTGAACTCAAGCCTTATCATTTCCCCTTTTTAACTTCTGATAGAAATTGGCTAGAACCTTATAAAGCTGAGTGAACCCATAAGATAGGGGAACTCACTGAGATTATTATCTAACCCCATTATTGTTGTTATTTTCAGACATTGTTTGCAGGTTTAGTTTGCAAGTGGAGCTATGCATGGAGTTTCAAGAGAAGCTTAGCTTATGCTTATTCCGCTGTGCATTATGTATTGTATATCTCGTTCCATGAAGGATATTGTACATAGATCTTAGTTTTATTGTTTTGGCACTTTCCATATTTTGTACCATAGGTTGTCTATTATGTTTTATAAATGGTCAAATATGTAAATTATGCCAATAGACACTTATGATTGGAGTCAGTATAACATATATATATACATATACATATATATATATATATATATATATATATATATATATATATATATATATATATATATATATATATATATATGTATGTATGTGTGTGTGTATGTATGTATGTATATATGTATGTATGTATGTATGTGTGTGTGTGTGTATATATATATATATATCTGTATGTATGTATGTATCTATGTACACACACGCACACGCACGCGCGCACGCACACACACACACACACACACACACACACACACACACACACACACACACACACACACACACATATATATATATATATATATATATATATATATATATATATATATATATATATATATATATATATATATATTATACAGGGCGTTACAAGCTACAATATCATCTGAAGCTTTATATATTCACGACATAATGTTGATTGATGAAGTGTTTGTCATGGAGTCTTTAAGATTGATTTTTTGTCATTGATTCTTGGTTGTCTTTGTTTAGCTTGTGCTAGTTTGTTTTCTTGATTTATGTCCCTAGATGTCCTTAACTAGATCACGCTTGTTGATATTTTGAACCAAAAAAATTATTTTCGGGGTTTTAGTGTGTTTGTTTTGGTATTATAGTTACATTGCCTTGATTATGTTGAAGAATATGATATTTATATTAAGACTTATTAAAGTTTTACTATGCATTGTTAAAAAAATTTACCTCTTTAATAATGATTTACAATTTTATAAATTATGTAGTAAATCAAATTGTAAAAAAGATAGCGGACTGACCCGCTAACTCGTTAGTAAACAAGTGAACTTTACTTTTGAATTCGTACGTCTAAGTTGACTCGTCCCACCATGCCCCTCTTTTGAACGGGTTTAAATGGGACAAACGTCCGCTTTGCCACCTCTACCAGAGGTTGTATCCACGTGAGCATATACATTTTATGTTTGATTTACCAATGGATTTATCTAAATTTGATGCAATATGGATAATCATGAATTTCTTTCGTGATATTTTGATTTTTTTTTTAAATGAACGGCATATTTACTTTAAGCATGTTGATTTAACCGAATAAAATTTCATCAATTACTCTTGATACTAAAGAAAATATCAAATAATTACAAATGATTTTGATTGATAGTAGTGTGAGCTTCCATGTCCTTTTTGTACATTATTCCCTCCGTTCTTTTTAAGTATATATTTTATTTGAGTTTTTACACTTATCAAACAAACTAATATTTTAATCGTTATCGTTCTAATTGTTCTGAATTCGGTGCTAAATATAATAAGTCTCTAAATTGGTTCTTAACGTATTTTACTTAAAATTGCATCCAAATGTGATTTTCATGAACTATTTTAGTTTCAACACTCCGGAAGTTCAAAGAACCCGTCCAATAAAAGGTTTCAATTCAACAAACGTAATCTTGCCAACAATTTAGTGACAGTAGTAGATATTTGCTTTTCAAAAATTTGAACCTGGTCTTCATAGTAACTAAACACTGATATACTTTGATACTACCAAGATATAGCAGATGAAAGAATGTGAAAGGAACGCAAAGGCACATGGTATTAGGTGATCATCACAAACTACTTACTATAACTACTTCTTAACCTTGACTATGTCTTTTTACCATTTCACTTCATCAACTTTTCTTCCATGACTCTTTTTATCACTAAGCAAATTACCACTAACTTCCTATACTATATATAGAACAGTGCATAGCATGCCAATTCAACAAACATCCCCTAACATTAATGTCTCAAAATATGGCCATGCAGTTGGTAACATTATTGTGTGTAATGATACTCAACCTCACTTCAGTATTTGCAACCACGGTGAATGAAGCCTATGGTGGTGATGTTAATACTGAATGTCCATTAGGGACTGACATATACCAATATTCATGCCCTCAAGCAGAGGCCATAATCTTTTCTTGGGTTGAACAAGCTGTCTCTAGTGACCCAAGAATGGCAGCTTCATTGCTAAGACTTCATTTCCATGATTGTTTTGTCAATGCAAGCCTTTCTTTCTTTGCCTCCACATGCATGCTTTTGAAAATTTCATGAATTGTGTTAACTTAGTTTTGGTTTTTTCAGGGTTGTGATGCTTCGGTGTTGCTGGATGACACACACAACTTTGTTGGTGAGAAAACTGCTGCCCCAAACTTGAATTCGCTTAGAGGATTTGAAGTGATCAATGAAATAAAATCTGAACTAGAACTAGTTTGTCCACAAACTGTTTCTTGTGCTGACATACTAGCAACTGCTGCTAGAGATTCGGTTCTTCTGGTTTGTCATTGCTCCTTTGGTTTACAATCCCTTATTATTTTTATTATATTTGATTGTTCTGACTAAAATTAAGCATGATGAACTACTGTGCTATTATAGTCGGGAGGACCAGCTTGGGAGGTGCAAATGGGGAGAAAAGATAGTATCACGGCTAGCAAGGCAGGTGCAAATAATAATATTCCAGGTCCAAACTCAACCGTTGATGTACTTGTGTCCAAGTTTGAAAATGTTGGCCTTACACTTCAAGACATGGTTGCACTCTCAGGTTAATAAAGCTATAGAAATTGCTACTTACTAATATTTCCGTGTTATTATATACGCATATTACTCGGTTATTGAAAATCAAGATTTGCATTGATTCTTATTTTTAGGTGCACACACAATAGGAAAAGCCCGGTGCTCAACATTTAGTTCTCGCTTACAGAGCAGCAGCATTTCAGATGGTCCATATGTTGATGTGGAATTTGTTGCATCGTTGCAACAGTTGTGCTCAGGGCAAGGTAATAGCAACCGAATTGCACATCTGGACCTGACCACACCAGCTACATTTGATAACCAATATTATGTTAATCTTCTCTCTGGGGAAGGACTGCTTCCATCAGACCAGACTCTGGTGAGTGGGAATGATCAGACACGGCAGATTGTTGAAACCTACGTAGAGAACCCGTATGCTTTCTTTGAAGACTTCAAGATTTCAATGATAAGAATGGGAAGCTTGGGATCGGATGCGCAGAGTAACGGGCAGATTCGCAGGGACTGCCGAACTATTAACTAATATAATAAAGTGGTGATAATTCCCTATGTAAACGCAGTATGATGGTCATGTGATATTTAATCATTAGAAAAAACTATGCTAAGTGTGCAAGATGAAAAGGTAGTACTAATTAATTAATGATTACTTGAATCAAGGTTTGAACCAAATGAACTTTATAGATTGTCTCTAAATTAATGGCTAGGTTAATATTTATTAATAAAGCAAAGCCTATGTTACACGAGGGTCTAGATAGAGCATTTCCTCACTGCTGAGCCAGACAGTGATAGTGAAATCTCAACTACTAGGACCGTAGTAATTTATGAAAAATATACAGTTTACATGTCGCTTTCGGTCAAAATGAAGGTAAGATGGTGGTCCTCTACCTTCTTTAAGCAACAGATTTGAGATTCGGATACACAGCCATTTAAAAGCTGCATCGTCCATATATGCCGCCTCATACTTTAACCCGTAGAAATTCAAACTCCTGAGGTTAAAAAGATACAAGACATGTCAGTATTGATATTATAAATAAAAAAGGAAAGTGTTAATATGTGCCCTTAAGGCACATGATAGCAAACGACATGTAGAAATGTAGAAATATTCTCTTGAGATGTGTTTCTTTAAAATTCTAAAAATTACTCTATTCAACTCAACTCTTCTACTTTTAACATGCTTAACATGTATCCTTAGGACCCATAGCAAGACTACAAAAATATAACAAACAAATATAACCTGACCCCTTATTATCTATCGCAAATCCTTGTTTCTATAGTGTTGAACCTATTTTTCTCGTTTGTATTTTACCCATCAATAGTTTTATGCCCATCAATAGTTTGTCGGAAGATTTTCTAAAAGCACGAGCATTGATTTTCCATTATAAATGATACCTAAAGAACTCTTTAGCTTCATACACCCCACTTCAATACTACCGATGTCCCTAACTTCCTCTACTGTCCCTACCAAACTCTTGGAAATGATACCAAAAAATGCAAACATACTATTGATGCCCCTAATTGCCTATATCGTTGTCCCTGCTAAACTCTTGGAAATGATAAAAATGCAAACACTCGTAATCCCACATTCCCCACTTGATGAACAAAATGATTTAGTAAGATGACATTGAAAGACTCCCTTTTACTTTGTGTTTTTGAGTGTGTGCATGTGTCCAAACTGGGGGTAGAGATGAGTTTGTGCAAGGACTGGAACCTGCAGGTCTGTTTTTCCACATCAGCTCTTGCGTAGTATTAATACCCTGTAATTGATTAAGGAATTATGATTAGACAAAAAGGCAACATAAAATAAATGGAGGTGAAAAGAGTAAACATTATACCTGTGAATAACGTCCAGGATCACCAGCAGAAACAAATGACGTCTGTTTATAACCAAGTTCCTAAAAAGCCAAACAACTTTCAATTATACACCCAAAAGAAGCCATTTAAAATTAACAAGTCAGAGAAAAACAGTGGATATAGACTGTGAGGCATATCAGGCATCCCTTCTATTGTTATTAAACAAAATGTTAACAAGGATATAGCATTACCTGAACATTTTGATGACCTGTAACTCCATATGCCTGGAACTAGAATTGGAAAAGCAAATTCATTAACATAATCACCTATGAATGCCAAATGAAGGAATATCATAGAGATGCTTACGGAGGAGGGTTGCTGTAATTGTTGATGGTGGGGAACTTGTTCTCGGAAATGACTTTGAGGCTGAACCTGTTGGTTTTGTGCAATTTGTTGGGTGGGTGGTATTGAAGGCTGTGACTGAATTTGAGACTGCTGAACAGACTGGCTGTGCTGTTGCTTTTGTTGTTCAAACAATGTCAACTCTTCGGGTTTCTCCCACTATAGGTTCATTTTGGCAAAAATTAATTCTACAAATATAATATAAAATAACTTACATAACCTAACGGAAACTCAAGTAAATTCTTACCCGACTTTCCCCAGTCACACTATTATAGTAGTATTTGAAGCCCTCGGGAGATAGATGCTCTGTCCAATTACATTTTGGAAGAGTTGTGTTCTGGCTTATTGCTTGTACAGAAGAAGTAACAACTGATGATGAAGGAGCACCGGAAGCAGGTGCAGCCACATGAGTGCCTTTGGCTGCATGTGGTACAGGCCCGCCCCATTGAGACTGCAAGAATTTAAAATTAAAAAAAAAAAAAACATTAGCACATGAATAATTGGCTAAACACACTTTGGAATCTTTTAAGTTATAAGTTTGCAACAGTTTCTTTTGTAAGGAATTGATCTTTTAAATCATTAAACATTTGCACTGTTACCCCCCCTTTTATCATCAAACCCCATTAAAAGGGGCTTTCGTGGCCATTTTGCTGCTAATGTGGCATGTCCAAAACAGCAAATTTCATCTTCTTTTATTTAAAAATAAAAGTCTCAAATAAAATATGTTAAGAGTTCTTCATCTTCTTCATCAACCTTCATGATCTTCATTAATTAAAAATTAAAAATCCCAAATTCTTCAAAAAGAAACTCAAAAATCTCAAATCAAAATTATTAGTTCTTTAAAGAACATAAATCACAGCCCAAAAATTTAGAGTTTGAACAACTAGGAGTTTGTTAGTTCTTAAACCCATAAATTAAAATAACAAAAAATAATTGAAACAGAGTGAGTGAAAGAAAGGGAAACAAAGAACATAGTGGAATTGAAAACAAAGACAAAATGAAATTGGAAACGGTGCATAACAACTGGAGAGTAGAACTGTGAAAGAGTACAGAAGCAATGGAGCCAATGGATGAAGGGCCGCAGGAGAAAATGGACCATAAGTTCGACTGTGTTTTTGTGCCGTGTTTGGCTCTTGCTTCCATTTCTTTAATGTTTGGTTGCTTAGTGCTAAACTCTGAGCAGATCCCAGTTGGGTGACAGAAGAAAACTACACACTCTGTTTCCTTTTGTTTCCAATTCCCCACCGTGTTCTTCCTTTTCTCTTTATTTCACTTACAATCTTTTTGTTATTTAATTTATGGGTTTAAGAACTATGCAGTGTTGTTAATAGCAGATCAGGGAAAATAGTGGATCACAGAAAAACCAATATGATAAATATCGGATAGTGTAGCGGGCAAATAGCGGAAGCCGCAAAGCAGTTAAAATAAATAACAGTGTTGTCAAATATCAATATCGGAAAATATCGGATCACCAAAAAACTGATATGAGAAATATCGGATCGCGTAGCGGACAAATATCGGAAGCCGCAAAGCGGTTAAAATAGAAATAAGAACTCAAAGCTGAAAATTTAAATTGAAAATTTCAAATCCAATAACTAAAACAGAAAAGCTAGAAACACAAATTTAAAAGGAATTAAAACTGAAAAAGTTAAATAGTTCAAACTAATAACTAGTAGTTCTTCTAAGTCTAACTAATGATAAAAGATTTAACTATTCTTCTTTTCCCCTTCCTCAACATAATCATTATTCTCCTTTTCAGATAGTGAGGCACATCTTTCATCTTTTTCAATTGAATTAATATCCTCAAATTCTACTCCTGATTCTTCGGACGTGATCTTCCAATTTAATCACTTGTAGCTTTCCCTTCCTAGATGAAGAACCAGCTGACTGCTTCTTTGTTTTAGATGAAGTGCCAACAACATTAGGGTTGAGAGTTTCTTTTCTCTTTTTAGTTGTTTGCCTAGTATATCTTGTAGGCTCTCCAACTCCTGAAGCTCTAAAAACAGCTTCCCAATTAAGGACATCCTCATCAATCTCATCCTCAAAGACTCTTTCACTCCCAACATCAACTTCATCACCATCCAGCCACTTTATCACCATCCATCATCCCAATCAGCCACTCATTACACGAGTCAAAGAATGAATTAACAGGACGAATGATCAGATAGGCATGTATAATATCAGGCACCAACTCAGAATGAAAGAGGAAGAATGAACAGGTCGGACTCACAGACTCAGTAACCCACATTTTCCTTTTTTAATGTTTCCACCTCTTTAGATTCTACTTTTCCACCTCTTCACCTTACCCTCTTTAATGTTCATACTTTTTCACCTCTTCACCTTACCCTCTTTAATGTTTTTAAAAATGATTTATTATAAAAATAATAATAATAAAAATATGGCTTCCGATATTCCATTCATAACCGGTATACCGGAAAGTCGCTGGTATTGCGAGCATCGCGTAACTGAAATGTTATACCGGTTTTCGTATTGGATAGCCAAAATTCCGATATGCAATACCGGTATACCGGCGCTATACCAGATATTTAACAACACTGATAAATAATAAATAATTATATATAAATAAAACATACTACACACAAAAAAGAAGCTACATAAACAAATATTAAAAAATTGACTCACATTAAACTGAAAATCTCAAGTTCAAACAACTAAACAATGCTGCATAAAGATAAAGATAAAAATTAAAAATGACTAAGAACTCAAAAGTTAAGTAGTTCAAACTTCAAAACTAGTAGTTCTTGTAAGTTCTATAAAAGATGAAGGAAGAGCAATAAAGTGAAGGAGAAGAATGAACGACCACGAAATGAAGGAGATGGAGCAGAGATTATCCACACTCACTCATCACCACTCCACCTCTTCACATTCTATTTTTTTTAATGTTTTTTAACATGGTCCACTACATATTAAAAAATAATAGTAATAATATTGGTCCACAGCTAAAAAAAGTCTCAAATATTAACCAATTCCAATATCAATACATAACCACTATACCGGTATACCTAAAAAAAGTGCCATAGCAGAGTCAAAATGCAATACCTGCTTTTCTATCGAATAGCCAAAATTCCGATACGAGATACCGGTATACCGGCGATATACCGAATATTTAACAACACTAACTATGTTAGGACTTAAAGGGAGTTCGATAGAATTAGAGTTAGAAAGTAAGTTAGTAAGTTGATAAGTTTGTTTGGTGATTGTTAAGAGTTGTTATTTTGGTTATTCTTAGAAAGTCTTTAAATAGTCCTCAAGGGTAGAGGGGAAAGATAGCTTTTGAATAATTAAATTTAGTGACTAGAGATAGCTTTAGTGTGAAAGGAGAGTGCTCCTTTGGGGTAGCCTTGAGTGCAAAGTTATCATCTTCATTGTATATATTTTGAATCTTCTCTTTCAATCCATTGTCCCATTCTATTGATAGTAACAGAAAGATATTCAAAGAACTCATTTTTTCTCAATTTTGTTGATAATCTTTATTCTAGTTAGAATTATTCCTTGGTTTATTCAAATTGGCCCAGTTTTGGATATTCTTTCCACATATTGAAAAAAGGTTCCTAACAAACTAACAAACCCAGAATTTTCTTCTTGTTCAAACTCAATATTTGTAATTTTTGTTCTCTAAAGAACTCTTAGAATTCTAATTAGAAATTTTGGAGGTTTCTTTTTTGATATAACTTAACAGCACTAGAAATTAATCAACTACTTCAAACAGATCAGATATCTACATGCAATCAGGTAAGACACCAACCAATCAAAGTCCTCCAAGATTTAAAAAAAAAACATTTCATAGAGTGTAGAAAATGTAATGGATGCAATTATTAAGAAATTTTTGTAGTATAACTGATTCAAAATAAACTACACAGATCAGTCCAACCAAAAAACCATCAGGCAATAAAACCAATGTTCAACTTCTGAAATATTATACTTGGTGTGATGTTGAACAAATGAGAACACAGATTAAAGGAATTTAATGCAGCAATTTTGACCAAAAATACCTGTGTTTTAGTAGCTTCTGCATGATGCTGCAATGTCATTGCTTGAGTGGATGGCTGGATCATCTGCATTTGTTGTTGAAGCTGGGAGAAGGCCTGCTGAGATGAATGAAAGCTTGCTTGTAAAGTCTGTGTTTGTTGTGAGACCAATTGGGCTAGCTGGGAAGGGGATTGCTGAAGAGGTTGAAGTGGCGGCTGCTGCTGCTGCTGCTGCTGCATAGAGGGAGGAATTTGCTGTTGACTAGGGGTAGTCAATGCTGTGTTAGATTGGATGTTAGTATCAAGAGAGGTCTGAGGAAACGTAGCAGACAAAACACTCTGCTGAGCTTGAGGTTGAGGAACTGAAAACTGTGCATTAATGCCCAGTCCCTGCGGACCAGCAGACAGAGGTTGTGGCTGACCGTGTTGCCTGAGGGATGGAAGTGTCGATGTTTGTGGATAGGGCATCGGAGCTTGAGGATATAACTGGTGTGAAGGTGGAAACTCCTGAGATGATTGAATAGGTTTCTGTGATGGAGGTATTTGTTGATTGACCGGTGGAATTTGCGGTCGAGGCTGGTTGAAATTCTGAAAACAATATAAATTTACTACTGAGTCGAGCTAGCGAAAAGGTAGTGAAGCCTCCTTATCCATTAATCTCACAGATCGTATGTATTATGTATACTGATAATCTCAAAATACCTGTTGTGGCATTGCTGACGGAGACTGAGCTTGAAATCGGACATCTATGGAGACTCCCATGCCATTCATAGGACCACCCTATATTGATTTAAGCATAGTGAAAGCAACAGATTTGTGAAGATCAAAATAACGAAAGAATATATAAATTTAAAATGGGGAGCAACAGAAGAAACAAAATTGCATCCAACGAGCAATTAGAGGTCAACATTTTGTTCCTTGTCCACTTCAATTTAAATTTCAAGTATTCAAAGATAATTACAAAATCAACATGTGGGCACACATGTCTGTGCACAAGTCGGGCACATTGAAGCATATTAACCAATAACTGTTAGCGGCAAGGAAGGGTCCCAGAAAACCTATCCCTTTCAAATATTAATACAGAACCTTGCAGAGACAGCTACTAATTGAGTTTGTTCTATTCATTTGACTAAAAAGAGTGATGAGACGATGCAGTTTCCGTCTTGCGATAATGCAGTTTGATAAAGACAGCCAATCACTTGGCAACAAAAGCCAGAAGGCCATATAAAGGTAATTAACAGAATTTACTAAGTAGAGTGTGTTTGAAGGCCCGCTCTCTCCATCAACAGACAAATTCAAACTTTTTATGATTATAAGAATTGACAACAAAACGTAATATTGCTAGCCATCTACTTGGCCAAACTTCAGAATAAGTCTGCTGGGAGTATGAATGCAAAATCAAGGCAGCAATTAAAATTGAAAAGTGCAACATTTCGGCATAAAACAAATAGGGAAAAGCATCTCAGTTGGTTGTAGCTTTTAAAGAAAAAATATTATCATTGAGCTTGGGGAAAAATCTTCCGGTATCCTTGAATTTACACTTACTGCATTTATAGGCAATGCCATATCGCCAGATCTTGGCATCGATGGAGGCCCCATACCATGAAAACCAGCATTGAAAGATGTACCAGTATTTGGTTGATGGATTGGACGCCAAGCATTAGGGGGAGGCATACGATCACCCATAGGATCAGAATTATTTGATGGAAGTCTGCAAACAGTAATTACAAAATAAAGCATTGCATTGAGTAACAAGACAAGAATATAAAAGATTAACTATTCAAAAGACAGTAATAAAGCTGGTCCTTTGCACACACAAAAATAGTAGTAAAGCTGGTGGGAGAATACCTAGTGCCTGGTGCATCCAATCTAGGACCAAATCCTGCAGCTCCAAATGCAGGACCCCTGGAAACCAAACAAAAGTTCAAAAACTACTCATTCATGCATGCACTTGAGTCCAACATTGGACGCCTAAAACAAGGGCTAAGTAGTCAAAATTAAGTTAATATGGTAGAGTGACTAGAGTATATTGCTAAAGTTGTCAAGTATAAAATAACACTCTAGCTTAGGCATGATCCCATATTCACAAGACTAAACACAAATCAATTTCTGGATAAAATGAAAAAAGTCCACGGATTTAATCTGTGTCATTAATTGATTATATGACAGGCTTTTAGGCTTAAGAATCATAAACTGATGCCAGAAAACAAACCTGGAATCTCCTTGGCGAGGTCTCTTAGGATCAGCAAATCGAACAATCAGTGGTTGATCACAACCCTAGGCAAAGGCATACATGATAAACATAAAGCTTTTATATGGAGAGCTGATAAAAGAAGAAGAAAAATCTTACTCTCATTGTATATATTCCATTAAGTCCATTAATAGCTGCCAGTGCCATATCTCTGTGAGAATATTTGACAAAACCACATCCTTCAGACAAAAATAAGGAAAAATATCATCTATTTGGTACTGCCGTCAAATACAAACGCACATCTGGGAGCAGGAATAAAAATTAAATGATTCCAAACATAGTAGGCAAAAGTTTAGGAAAACATTATTAAATGCATCCGTTTTTTTTTTTGAAATAAAAATGCATCAGTTGTTTCATACTTCACAGAGAACAACTTCTAATCTGAGAATAACAAAGTACCTATTCTAACTCCCACAGTCCCACCCCACAACCAGGTTTTATCACGTATATGAAGAAAACATACCACGACTCTGCTTCTTGTCATCACGCATAAGATAAACATCTTCAACCCGCCCATATTTTGAGAAAACCTGATGCAAGAGAACAATCACTCACTTCCATGTTCACAAGAACAGTAAACATGCATGACACGTTATTAAAGGAAATTAAACATTTTGGAGGGAGGGAAGGTAACAATCCAATAAGTCACAAGGACAAAATTTTCCATGTTACCATTCCCATTTGCCAGAAAAAACAAACAGTCTAATGTGTAAAGTTTGACGGGTGCAAGCAACATACTTCCTCAACTTCCTTTACGAGAGCCTGTTTATTCAGAGAGCCCACAAATAGTTTGTACTCAACTGCACCTATAATATATAAATTTTTTGCAGCAACACAAAACAGTCAGTCCATACAGTTGAACGATTTGGAATAATGATGCATTTACAATAACAAAAGAACGCCCAAGTGTAAATTATTCCCCTATTAAGACTATAACTAACCAATTTTTATACAGTAATAAGCCTCAGAGCATGTTCAGATGAAGGTACTATTATTCACATATGGTTTTAAATATTATTAGATAAAGTAATAAGTTGACTACTACAATAGACAGAAGGTTTATACCATACAAATAAATATTCAAAAAGAGACAACATATACCCAGTGTTCAATTGATAAAAATGATGGACAAGATTTCTTATTTCAAAAAGATGTCTCAAACATTTCATTAGGTTCCATAACCCCCTACTTCATCCAATAACATTGGCAGTTATGCCAGAAAAGTCTAGTTACACTTTAATTTGTAGATGTAAATATTACTATGATTTGGGGGAAAAATTTATCATTTAGTCCATGTACACTATACTAAGCATGTGGCGGTTAGAACTTCAAAGACTAACAATGTCAAGAGAAAAAGAATAGTTACCAAGGCGTTCCCGTTCGCCATCAGCATACCGCACTTGGATGGGACCAACACCCTATATGATAAAATTGTGTCAGAAAATTACTAGTTATAAATTTCCTTCCCTACTTACTATTCACTAAGGATTTAGAAGCACTACACTCACTCCGGGAAGAGTATGTTGATTGTGCAATGCTCTTATTGCCTGATCAGCTTCCTCTGAAGTAGCATACTTTATAAAACAACAACCTGCACAATAAAAGGTGTTTTATGACAGTTCCACTAAATAATACCTCTTCCCACCCACAGCCAACAGATAGTCATTGGGCAGAAAAACAATATAGCAAGAAGTCTAACTTTAGAAACTTCTTTTGCTTAAAAATATTTTTAGCTGCTAACAAACACATACAATAGGTCAATTTTGTAGAACGTTATGCATCGCATAGTCATTACTCGTCAAACAAAATAGATAATACATTACACGTAAAGTGGAAGACAAAATACTACCAAGAATAAGTGAAGGGTTAAAATTGTAACCAAATTATATTACAATATTAAAACACCAGAATTTACCCTAAGCATCAAATTTGGATGGACCGGAAGATCCCGCAGAAACAAAATACAGAAAAGATATCACAGCAATCTCATCATAAGGGAGGAGAAAAATTCCAAACATACAGAGCAGCAGATAATAGATCAAATTAAAAAGACACATTCAGATCTTTTCATATGATTATGTAGTATACAACTCATTAACAATAAAAACACAACAATCATGTAGAAATTCAATATCAATAACCAAGATCACACTGATTAATCTGCATTAATGGCAAAGCTTACAAGTCACCAAACAGCCACAGTTGCAATACAAATAACTCATTAGTTCATAATCTTTGTTTAGAAAATAAACTTCTATTACACATCAACTGTCAGAGATGATGTTGTATCCTCCGCGGGTTACACTTACCAAAACCATCCCTTAGGTAAAGGCTTAACTAAAACCATCAAATTGCATACACAACAGCACCAGAAACATTCAACAGTGTGCTAAGATATTCACAATCAATATAATCTGAAGATGAATTATAGCATCAAAAAAGTAAAGGATTAACTAATACCACCAAATTACAAATTCCCACACAACTGGACAAGAATTATCCACCAGTGTGTTACGATATTAACAATCAACAGAAACTGTAGATGAATTCTAGCATTGAACATGCACTCATGAATAAACACCAACAGAACATAAATGTCAGACAGCTTTTCTGACTCAACTGGATACATACAAGCTCTTAACAGATTATTGTGATAAAGTACGACTGCAAGACTAACTTTACAATAAACACAGGAAAAAGAACAGCACTTGGCAAAATTTCAGTGCCATGGAGTATCCAACTTTCCACAATGGTCATTTCGGCAACTAATGTCTAAATGTAGCGGTGGGCAGCAGATCTAGGCAAATATGGAACATCTCTGCTATTTGTCCTGACTACGCATTGACATTTGATATAGATACAACGTGGTTGACGTCATCCAAACCGGTGCAATTAGAATTTCTAAATCATCTAAATTTAAAATAATTTCTATATGGGCTGCATCATTATATTTAATCACAGACCTATAATAATTTCTAAACCACCTAACTTCTAAAATGTTTTCTATATGGGCTGCATCATTATATTTAATCACAGACCTATAATCACAAAGAAACAAAAACATTGTTCCAAACACAACATTCTGAAACCATGTCACAGAGGAAATTATATCCACCACATACACATAGCGTTAACTATAACTAGTTCCTAAATTTAACATAAAGAATCACAAGTACACAACCATCAACCACGTCGCCAACAGATCATCCATTCATAAGGTAGCTAATGAAGTATGAATTCCAACAAACACATCAATCACTGATATCAATTATCATCCACATTTTGCCGGCCTAACTTTTAGTCCCCAACCACCTTACTGAATTGAAACTGATATATGACATCCCAAGCCAATCAATAAATGCTAACATTCACCAAGCCATTCAATAAATGCTAACATTCACCAAAACATAAGAAATATTGAACCTTCTGAAATAAATTGTGATTAACACCATTCAAAAGTAACAACCCAAGATTTTGTTTGTTTCCTTTGTACAATTACTGAAGTCTAATTTTTTGGCAAAACAATTTACAGCTAAGGCAACGAACACTCCCACTACAACCAAATTTTGGACATTGCCCCCACTTCTGCAGCTACAATTGCAAGAGCAGGATCTTTTGGTCCTCCAAGATCCCATCTGCTAGCTTACAGGTGCACATGTCTTGGCTACTTCAGGTATGACAAGACGAGGAAAAAAGTGGAACCATAACCAACAAGTCTGAACTTGTTTTAAAATCAAACTGGGATGAAGACGGGCTTATAGTCTTCCCTATCAGCCTCTCAAAAGACCTGAAATAAAATGTACGTGAATCACAATAGTCTTAGAATAGAAGAATCAAAAATACCTTGATGCTGTCCAGTCTTTTTATCTTTGATCAGGGCGACCTCAATCACATTCCCGTGTTCCTCAAATAAAGGACGAATCTACTCAAATCAAATAATTGTTACAAGAAAACAATTACTCATCAAATATTAGACTAAGGTTAATATCCTTTGATGTTATAGAAAACATGAGATCATTGGGCAATCAAGAAAAGAACATAAAAAAAAAAAAAAGTGAGACAACTTACATCTTCCTCCGTTGCTGTTCGCGGAACAGACCCAACAAAAAGTTTGGCAAAATTTCCACCATCAAAATGATCTGAAAGGAACAAATGTATCATTCATTTCAGATATACCAAGTTTTATCCCACTAGCTGCCACTTCATAGCTCAGAATAATGCACGGATAAATACCATATATTTAGGGGAGTAAATTATAACAAAAATCATAAACATTTGCGAGAGAATACTAATTCACATGTAGTTTAGCTTCTGTTACTCAGTTTACTGACAGATGTAAATTAATATGTTACCCAACAGTTAGTACTGACTCCTATTATTGCTAGACTCTGCATCTATATATATTCAATGCAACACAGATAAAACAAAACAAGTCGTACTACAAAAGGATTTAATTCATATACACCAATTGTGTAAACATTTTTTATATTGTCGATCAATCATAATTGTTAGATCACTTCAAGTATTTGACTTTCATCATATATACCTTGCCATATAAAGGATGATTTGTGATTTATTGAGAGGGTAAAATTCTTCACATCAAGAGTCTATCAAAATTAATCTCATTACAGAACACTCGCATACATTATTTCTCTAATTTGCCCTTAATGCGCGGGTAAACATCAACCCCTCTCTCTAAAAAAATGGATAGAGAAGCAGGTGTTTACCATATCGAAAAATGCAAGGATCGGCAATATCAAAGAATTCTAACTTCTATCGATGATCATGTAAAGACTATATGGTCAACAATATCCCACAAGCTATGAAGCACGGACATCTCTAGGAGTAAGCGTTGTGGTGTCCGACACGTGTCAGTGTTCAATTTGTATGACACTGGTACATGTGTGTACGCGTCGGAAAAGTCAGACAATTGTCCCCCAAAAGGATAGAAGTAAGGTCCTAGATAGAACATTATGACAGAAGTTGATTCATATAGCCGATCCTCACTTAGTGGAATAAGGCTTGGTTGTTGCTCGACACTCTTTGAATCGACGTCTGACACCCGAATGACATACAACACAACATGTGCGGACAATTCAGAGAAGTGTTTCAAAAAAATTGTTTTTCTCTTTGCTTCAACGCACCTAATACATTTTTTTAGACAAATCACGCAGACATCTAAAACGCTTACACATATATAGAACCAACGTTATCAATGAAACATTGGAGATTAATTTTGATTAGAAAGTGGAATAAGGCTTGGTTGTTGCTCGACACTCTTTGAATTGACGTCTGACACCCGAATGACATACAATACAACATGTGCGGACAATTCAGAGAAATGTTTCAAAAAAATTGTTTTTCTCTTTGCTTCAACGCACCTAATACATTTTTTTAGACAAATCACACAGACATCTAAAACGCTTACACATATATAGAACCAATGTTATCAATGAAGAATTGAAGACACTACTTTTGATTAGAATATTTTTAACTCTTTTATCAATAGATGAAGTAATATGGTGTATGAAACGGTGTTGGTATCCTATGTTATTAACGGCGTCGGAGTTTCTGTGTCGTGTTCCAGTGTCTTAGTCGGAGTCTGGAGTCTGTGCTTCATAGCCCACAACCCATTGAAAAAGCCAATTCCCCCTCCCAAAACACACATATGGCGGCAACAGCAGCAACGCAATCCCTAAACCTAAATAGAACGAGCTAATGCCAATTCCCCCTCCCAAAAATCACGCATGGCAACAGCAATAATGCAACCCCTAAACCTAGATAGGACGAGCTCGCGCCCATGTAACCCTTATAGCAAAAGCCATTTCAAACACGCTATTCAAAATTCCCCATAGCAGTGACATCAATTGAAGCTGAACTACGTTTAAAACGAAAGAAAAAAACCTTAAATTCAAAATTCGCATCAGAAAACATAATCAGTAACAAACTCACCCGGTGAAGCTCCACGTCCAGAGAAAGGAAACCCTCGTTTCTGCCCAGACATCACCGACGGCTGATGATTATTAAATCCAAAATCTCCAGGACCTTCACCTCCCATCGGCCTGAACCCGTCTCCAGCACCTGGTGGACGAAAACCCCCAACCCTACCCGGAGACCAACGCTGTGGACTATCAAAATTCCGATGGAGTGGGGCGGGGGCGGAGCGGAAACCACCGGGACTTCGACGGTTGTAGTTCATCGGAGAATCGGAGAAACGAGAAGGCCTTGAAGGACGATTATTGTTGTAAGAGTGATCATCGTTGTTGTCGCCGTAGCGGTCTCCTCTGTGCCTATCCAGTTTGGCTAGCAGAGTGAAACCCTAACCTAAAACCCTAGAAACTAAACGGAGAATAATTAAAATAGAGAAATAGTGTGCAGTGTTGTTTCGCACCGGTGAAGATGAACTTTAACGCTTTTCTTGGCTTAACGACGATGTTACACAATCAATATTAAAAATCTTATAATTAAATATTATTTTGTCTATTTATCAATCAAATACGTTTTTCTTATGAGATCAATCAAATATAAATTAGTGGTATAAAAGAAAAATCAATCAAATAGATGAGATTTTAAAATAAAAATAAAATTTTATAAAATATATCATTTTTTTTTGTTTAAATATGCATTTTACTTTTTATTTGGATTAATATGTATTAATACTATTGGTTGTGTATCCATACATAATAAAGTTTCTTCATCTTTTCAAAGTACTTTGTATTTCTTGTGTTATTTTTCTTATACATTTGCATTATTATGGTACATTTTTATTTTTTTTATTGAACCAATATGGTAAGTTTTAGGTATGGGTCTGTTCACATTATTTTTTACCATGATGGAGAGTTTGTTTATGATAGTTTATTTTTATAAAGGAGGTGCTAAAACAATCATTAGTGGGCAACATTTATAAATGATTGTATTTTGAAACTTTGGGCTTAGTAAAGAATAGGGTTATGATGGTAGTGATGTTAGATTGTAGAGAAATATTAAAGGAATGAATGAAAGTTTCTTCCATATGAACGATGATTTTGATGCTGCAAATCATTCAATTTTTAATAATATTAATGGACATATATGGGTGGAGTATAATGTTAAAAACAACTCAAATATGATGCTCAATCTAAAATAGACAGATGTTTTTGAAAGTGGTGATAATAAAGCTATAGGGATAAGATTTAATGATAGCGGGGAAGATAAAGCTAATGAAAATACTTGAGGCTTTGTGGTTATTGAGGTTAATCAACCAGTTGAAGATAATAAAGTTGAAATTAATGATAAGAAATATGAATACAAGTTAAAAGGCAGAAAAAGTGAATATAGTGTAAAATGAGTGGGAAACCAAAAATTCAAGGTGTGTAGAAGATGATTCCGACTATGAAAGTGGAGAATTAGGTAGCTTAAAGCTAGAAGATAGAAAGAATCCTCATATATGAGAAGTTTATGGGAGATTTGATGAATAAAGACGGTTTAAACTAGGTATGGAGTTTAAAATGCTAGTCGTGTTTAAATATGTTATTAGAGATTGGTCAATTTTGATTGTTATTCTTGCTTGGTTCCTTTTGAAGATCTTGTAAATAGAACTTTTGCGTGGAAAAACGATTGAAGAAGTTTAAATTGAGTGAAACATGAGTGAAAATTTAAGAGTGTAAGTAGGGAAAGTTCCTGCTCTTATCGGTTGATCAGAACTTGAGGTGGGTCAAAGAGAATCGTCTGTGATGTTGGATGTGAAAGAGGAGAAGGGGGTGTACCTGTGAGGTACTCCGATGGCAAAGTAAGAAAACGAGCAAGAGAGAGAGAGAGGGGGGAGAGAGCAAGTATAGAATATGAGTATATCAAAGTGAATGTTGGATATCTGGCCCTCTCAAGTGAGAGAGTTTTTATAATGCCCTCAGTGCTTGACCATTGGTCCCTATTTTCGGGGCGAGATAATCATTTCCCGAAGAATAGGTAACTGCTAGAACTAGTCATTCTAACGGGCAAACGTGCCCATAACTAGTTGTTGCTACTGGCAGGGGAGTAGTTATGGGCACAAGCGTCTTGGTTGTTTTTTGACAGTGGGACTGTACTTGACGGGCAGAGACTGGTGAGGAGAAGTGTTGTGACCAACCTCCCCTGTTGGGGCAGAAAGGTAAATTCTCCCCCAAAGTGGTTGGACTTAGGCAATTGAGTCGTTATGGGAGCAGAAGTGGATTGGACCATGTCTAGCTATCGGGCTAGTCCGGAACAGTAGCCCTCCAAGTCGTTGCTAATGAGCATGGTAGTGATGACTTAAGGACAATCTGCTTCCCGGGCATAGTTGTTGTAAACTACCTTGTACCCAGGCATCTGAAACATTGTTTTCCAGGGAGCTCAAGGTCCGGGGAGACCAATGGTTGATGAAATCTAAAGAGTGGGAGTGTCGCGTGTGCCTCGAGTCATGTGCTGCATTGAATGTGTGATGATGGCTAGGTTAGGGTCACGATGATGCTCTACCCGCGCCTGTTTGTGCATGTGCCTGGAGTTTGCCTATAAATAGTGAGAGAGTCTGCTCATTTTGAACCTTCGTTTCTCTCTCCTCTTTGCTCTCTGTTCATCATTCCCAATCGTTTGCCGCCATCAAGTTTTGCTCCGACCACCGTACCAAGTCCAACCAGAGCTACTCAAACCCAAAAGCTTCTTCCCGGACCAAGTAAGTATGACGATTATTTGCTTGTTATATGTTTTTCTAGTTTTTGTGCTTTAGAATGAATGCGGTTAGAGCTGAAATGAAGTAGTTATAAGGCGTTTAGTGGTGGTTGTTGGTGGCAGATGGTGGTTTGGCCACTTTCTTTACCACCGGCGTCGTAATGGTCATTTTAGGGAATAAGAATTCAGGAGGCCTTAAGCTTTTAGCTGATCGTGGAGTAGTAACGGCACAGTGGTATTTGCTACCAGAGGGAACTATGGATTTCAGTGGGTTTATAGTTTTCCGGTGGTTCCCTCATGAGAGTTCTAGGTTTTGTGTGCGAGGAGTTTTCCCCGGATGTGCCAGTGAGAACTCTCGGGCACTTCCTCATTTGTTTAGTTGTGCCATTTGAGTGGGGCTTAGGTCGAGGATGTTGTCTTTGGCCTTTTGCGTGCCCTTTCACTTAACTAGCTGTGAAATAATGGATTTAATTTTGTCATCGAATTCACTTTTATCCTCTATTTTTCAGGTAGAGGCAATGTCGCGTAGGACTGACGAAAAAGAACATCTTAGAGATTTGTTCGACGAGAGATCCTCGGAAGATACTGAAACGGATGATGACTCCACGTCCCTTGAGGCTAGAGGGGTGACGACTGCGAGGACCTCGGTCGACGAGTGGATTGTGGTCGAGCCAATGGAGCATGCCTCGCTTTTTGCTTCATACACTAGGGATGTGTTTACCGCGGTAGGGCTAGAGAAAGAGTGGAGGGTCCACTTCCCTTCAGAGGACGGCCGCATATGCTCGTCATACGTGGAAAGGTTTCTCATGTACGAGTATGTTTTCAAAGAGATAGGGTTGAGACTGCCCTTCACATACTTCCAGCGGGCAGTCTTCGTACATTTGTACTTGGCGCCCTCCCAACTACATCTAAATTCTATTGCCTTTATACGAATATACGAATTGGTGTGTGAGTATTTACAGATCGTGGCCACTCTTCTGATTTTCTTCACCATCTTCCATCTCTAGCGACAGGTGTCGGGGAGGAAATTTGGTTGGGTTTCTCTGAAATAGGGGAGGAAAGTTGGTTGGGTTTCTCTGAAATAGGGGAGGAAATTATTCAAATCCTTTTCTGAATCTATTCGGACCCTCAAATAGAGGTTCTACGTGATCGAGCTTGTGTCGGAGAAAGCTACCAACTCGACCTTCGTTTGGGAGGTCTCTATGAACAAGAACGGGAAGAATATGATAGATGGGAAAGGCAAAATAGTTGCTCGGAAACTGTTATTGTTCCCCTTCTGTTGGAGTGGGGCTCATTTTACCCGCTCAACTGATGAGTATATAGTTACTCCTCATAAGCTAAGGGACGATGAATGGGCCAACTATGCTAAGTTGGTGGCCTTTATGGACAATTTCCTTCCCGCCCAGTGCGTGACTCGTGCAGGGAAGATGATTTACGAAGAAGATGGGGGGCTACAGGTGGAAGCCCGTATATCAACATGAAAGAGCTCCTCGAGTGTAGCACTTGCGAGGAGGCTCTTAAACTCTTGGGTAGCTTTCTGCTTCTTCTTATTTTGTTCGTAATGCTTCTCTTTTCACGTGTTGATGTGTTCTTTGTTTTTGTAGGTAATATGTCTTCAGCGCAAGAGTTGATTGTGAAGAATGTCCACAGAAAGATGAAAGGCGGCGTGTCCATAAGAAAAAGTTGCCTTAGTCAGCGAACGGCTCCTCCCCATACAGGATCGGGGATTTCCTCGTCTATACCACCAGCCATCTAGACATCTCTCATCCCCGTGGGTTCAAGGCTCAAGTGTGCACGCACAAATGAAATTGTTAAAAGCAAGTTCGAGTTGCCTCCTTTCCTACATAATAAGAAGTTCTTCGAGGGGTCCTCCCTGTCTATTCCTCTGGCAGAATCTCTCAAGCTCGAGGAAATTGATCGTCCCAGCAAGTGGGCCATGCTCGCGCAGGATACCTCCGCCTTGATGAGGATCTTGGAGATGACAGTGGTGTACACCGAGGACGGCTCTCCGCTTGAGTCTGAGTCGAAGAAGTCCCAAGTTGCGGTGGCGGCTCTAAAAAAGAGGGCCAAGAAACTCCAGGAGGAGCGAGATATGGAGCTTGAAGAAGCTACGTGAAAAGGACGCACTGGCTGCCCAGAAGAAGGCTGTTGAGGACTTGATGGAGAAGCTAAAGGTGGTTGCTTCCCCTGCTGAAGATGAGACCGAAGAGATGAAGAAGTTGTCGACTCGCGCGAAGCTGGTTGCCCAGATCACTCAGGCCGATCACAATCTCCTGGCCATTGGCGAGGAGGATTTTCAGAATGTCGTGGATCAATTGAAGCTGGTGAACCCTGGTGTCGAGCTGATTACCAAAGGCGCGTGGTTTCTCTATTCTGTTAAGGGTGGCAAGATCGTCGTCCCTGAGTTCCTCCAGTTCGGTGAAGGTGGTGAAGAGCACAGGCAGGTGACCCAATAGGAGACTCAGCAGGAGGAGCAGTGAATCTTCCTCGGTTTATATTTTGGCCTGTGTGCCACTTGATTAATCTGTAACTTTATTT